CAGCAGGTGCAAATTGTGTAAATGGCCTGGTTGAGTTTGGTAAGGAATGTGCTGAATCTAAAAATACTGCTACGTTATAATGGCGTATACATGGGATATTTAAGCTTCTTGTGACCAGGAGTCGTGGAAGCAGGAAGCAGTAGCAGAATTTCTAAGCTGAAATAGGGCAATGCTGCTACAAAGCAACAGTTATGTCCATGGATATGCTTTTAAATGCTCTTTATGTAAAAGAGCAATCGGTAAAATGTATGGGGGGGAAAGTACTCTGTGTCTAGGAAGAATCTGAGTTACTTCTTTCACTGAAGATGCACTTGTGTATTTACTACCTGTGTTTTGATAGAGTTTCATCAGCTTTTTCTTAACATGAATTGTTTAAGCCTTACTACCTTTATAACTTTAAGCCAAGATTCTCAACATGACCCATCATGTCCATTTCACAGTGCCTTTCTGTGATATTTTTCTTCCTTGTTGAAAGGGATTTGTTGACCTAACAGCTACATGACTTACCTGTGTAATCCCGAGTTTCCTTAAACAACCTTGCATTAACCTGCCTGTAATTAGCAACTGTTGTCACACCACCAACCCTTAAAGCTGAAGCCTTCCACCCTCACCTACCTGTCGATCTTAATTTTACTGACCAACTATCCCAGAGGTTATTCCACTCCTTATTGTTATACTGTCTTAGCCTTCTTTCTTTTATATCCATGAATTACAGTAACCTTTAAGCAGATGTTTTAGTCTAATTACATGTGAAAAGCATGCTTTTAGCTAAAAATGTGAGTTCCCTGAAGTATAAATGACTTAAAAAGGACTCAATGATATCCCAATATGCCAAACTTAAAACATGAGTAATGTTTCAATGAGTAATGCACATACTTTGTGTATCATTAACATAGGGGTAATGAGTTGAAAATGTGCCATACATCTGGTTCTGCTTATAAATCAGGAGACTGCATACTAAGGATGATCATAACTCATGTAACTGCTGGGTTTTGGGTTTTCTCCCCCCTCCGTGCGGTGAAATACATGATGATCTCTGGCCAGTCAGGGTCAAAGGAGAGGAGAGCAGTGCCCACGCTCCTGCACAGATCAACAAGGATATCCCCCAGAGCTTTTTCTTATTGATGCAGTATGTCTTGTTAATCTTTGTTACATATAAGGATTTATACAAAGATGAATTTACTCACACCTTTATTAGATTAAGCATGTTCTGGAGCAGCATGCGATTAATTTCTTGTATGAAAGTCTTAGCCTCTTGCTTTTTCCAACAGTTTGCAATTCATATAAAAGAATGTGTTTTAAAATACACTTTTTTTTTTCTTCATTAAATACTCATAGAA